CAAGGGAGCTGTGTTCCAGACCCAGCAAGCAGAAGAACTTTGTAGCTTTGGCCACATGGTTCTGGTTTTAGAGTCAAGGAGTGACTAACAAAAGCCACTGGGAAAAGGCATGTGTCACGGGTGTCCCTGAATGGAATCAAGAGGGGCAATTGTGTGAAGTTGTGAAGTTGCAGCCTGGATTGCCTTGGAAACTCCATGATGTTACAGATGCAGTATTCATGAGAGAACTTTTGAGCAAAGCTACTAACAGGGAGTAGAACCAGCTCAAGAGAAAGTGTTTTGCAGTCAACAAAGCTGAAAGAAGTTGGAGATCTGAAGAGTGTTTTGACATCAGCCATGGAGATGCGAAGTTTGGAGTCTGCCTAGATTGTTTTTGGTCTTGTTTTGGTCCAGTATTTCCTTCCTGTGCTCCCTTTACAACATTTTGGAATGGTAATGTACTTCCTATCCTGTGTCATTATATGTTGGAAGTATGTGCTCTGCTTTTTTTCTTTTTAATTTTATAGAGGATTACATTTAAAAGATTGTTCTGGCTAGTTTTGTGTGTCAACTTGACACATGTTAGAGTCATCAGAGGAAGAAATGCCACCAATGAGATTCAGCTGTAAGATATTTTCTCATTTAGTGATCAATGTGGGAGGGCCCAGCCCATGGTAAGTGGTGCCATCCCCTGGCTGACAGTCAGTTCTGGGTTCTATATGAAGGTGGGTTTAGCAAGCCATAGCAAGCAAGTCAGTAATTAACCCCACCCTCCATGGCCTCTACATAAGCTCCTACCTCCAGAGTCCTTCCCTGTTTGAGTTTCTATCCTGACTTCCTTCTATGATGAAAATCAATGCTAAAGTGTAAGCCAAATAAACCATTTCATCCCCAACTTGTGTTTTGGTCATGGTGTTTAGTTGAAACAATAGAAACCCTACGAAAGATAGAGATTGTATAAATCTCAGAAGAGACCTTGAACTTTGGAGTTTTAAGCGTTGTTGAGACAGTGATCGACTATGGGAACTTTTGAAGGTGGACTTCTAAATGAATTTTGCTTTATGATATTGTTACAAGCTTATGGGAACAAAGGAGTGAAATATGGTAATTTGAATACAATTGTCCTCCATAATCTCATAGGTAGTGGCACTATTAAAGGTTTTACTTTGTCAGAGTATGTATGGCCTTATTTGAGAAAGTGTGTTAATGTGGAGGTGGACTTTGAAGTCTCATATATGCTCAAGCCAACCCTAGTTTCTCAGAGCACTTCCTGTTGCCTAAAGATCAAGATATAGGACTCTCAGCTTCTCCTACATCTAGTTTATGGACTAGGCTAACACTGAACCCAATGATCTGCCCTCTGTCTTAAAGAGGATTAAAGGTGTGTACCATCTCATCTGGTTTGCTCCGAGAAATTTAAAGCGAGGAGAAACTTTATTGAATTAGGCCCTTTTGCTCAGTGGATCTAATGTTCTGAAGAAGGCTGGGCCTGAGAAGCAAGCAAAGATCACAGAAGAAGACTTTATTACCCCTTGCCATTGATTATGTAAGAGATGAGACTTTCATAGTGTAAGCGTTTAATATATTAGGTATATGTCAAAGCTAATAAATATATAACATACGATTTCTCCCATATAACTATAAGCCAGGTTGAAGACCTATGGTGGGCATATCACAGACTCCAGTTAGGCAGGTTATTGCTATTAAATAATTAAGTGGATATGATGTGCCCATGAAATCACCTTCTAAACATTTATGTTTATGCCTACAGAACACTGTTGCTGTCAATCTCAGCTACAGAGGACAACTTCTCTTTTTCAGAGAGCTGTGGCTTACTGCAGAAACTCCTAACTCGTTAAGTGACTGAGGTTAAGTGGCTTTTGCTGTGGCATTTATAGATGAAGAAAATAATTAGATATTTGTATCATCCCCTCAAAGACTCAGAAAAAAATCTGCAGAAGAGAGGGCACAAAGAATTGAAGAGTCAGAAAAAGGATTGGACTGGTGTGGATCTATTTTTTCCAAATGGAAACATACCCTCCTGGAGGAAGGTAGTATGCTTATAAGATTCAGAAAGTTCATGAAACTTACAAATCCTAGTTTACTGGATTCTGAAATGACATATGCAATGCAAAAGAAAAAAAAGATTCTTTGGTGTTTTCAAGTTAGACAGGGCTTAGTGTTCATTTTCATGATGGTTGTCCACACTGAAGCAGGCTTTTCAGTGATGCAGCTGTCCAAATGTCACCCACACACCTGTAAGTGATACTGAGACATTCATTGCCTGTCAGAGCTGGAATCATTTCTTTGGTCTGTTGTTGACTTCCTATTTGTATTGAATATAACTGTTCATAAGACCCAAGGAAGAGTCACACAGCACCTACTATCCAAGGTCATCATGGTTATCTGGGGGAGATCATGTTGGGCAGTCATTTAATACAATGTTTGTTACATGCACAGCTAGTATAAATATGTGCTATTATTTCCTTCAAAGCAATGGTGAGAATGGGTCCCTTTGAAACTCACTATTCTCTGACTTGGGGATGGGTTGACTTTGGTTTAGAAGCAATTTTCTGCTACCATCACATATGCAGGCAGGGCCAGGACACTGCAGAATTTAGCAGTACAAAACATGTCAGGTTATAGGAATAGTCATTGGTTGAGATGAATTTTGTTCCTAGCATGGAATCAGGGTACCTCAAGGCTTCTCAGGTCTTTGGTTGCTTCAGCCTCTTTTTTTTTTTGTTTGTTTGTTTGTTTGTTTGTTTTTGTTTTTCGAGACAGGGTTTCTCTGTATTGTTTTGGAGGCTGTGCTGGAACTCACTCTGTAGACCAGGCTGGCCTCGAACTTGCAGAGATCCGATTACCTCTGCCTCCCAAGTGCTGGGATTAAAGGTGGGCACCACCAATGCCCGTCGACTTCAGCTTCTTTTTAATCACCAATTATGACTGAAAGATCCATTTTTTTCAAGGCTGCTATAAAATCAGAGATGGAAATGAGCACTGAATCCAAACACTGTGGTTCTCTCTCATATATATTTTCTTGGTTTCTATCCAACCTTATTTTAAATATCCCAAGAGATGGGCTTTCATCACTTTTCTTGGAAGATTTTTTTCTTGTACAATAATTTTTACTGTCAGAAAATTTTCTTTCTTATTTGGGGTGAAATTTTCTTTTCTTTCTTTTTTTTTAATACTCCTCTGGTTATTCTGTAATAAACCTAATAATATAATTCTTCCTGCCTATTCAGTATTTCTACTGTCAGATTTTTTGCAGTCGATTATTAGTCCCCCCTCAGTCATTACTTATCAATCCCAGACATCCTCTTTATCATTTCTCATAATTCACTGCTCCATCACGGTAATCATTATTCTCACCCTTTCAAATTAATCTATCTGCTTTAGGTTTAATACTCCTTTGAAAGCAAAACATATTAGCCTATTTATTTGTTTTATAACTGAAACATTGCATGAAAATCTTGTAAATAAAGGAAAAATTAATCTATTGATTAAACATAGTGGCTATTGCTACTTTGGTCATTTTAATTTTTGAAGCATTTGAAGAACAGATATTTTCAGCTACTCAGTGGCAGTTTGTAGTGGGTGCTGTGCTAAATACTTCCTGTGCATATCCAGGCTGTTATCACAGCAGGCTGTGTGTGAGCTTTATAACTTCCATTTCACATCCAGGAGAACTAAGGCTAGCAGAAGGTAAATCAGTTTGCCTAACCTTGGGTTCAGATATGACTCAATTCTCCATGGGTGACTAGTTTTGAAGAATGTGCAGTAACTTATATAGGTTTCACACTTTAGAAGACCCTCCTAGTGAAGATATGAGACCTTGTCTGTGGCTGTGCTGAGCTACCCTCCTGCCACCCAAATGGAAGTACTTCACAGTTGGTCTGAAAATAGGAGCTGCTAAGTCTGTCACATTTAGAGGGAGATTTTGCAGTCCTCGGAGTTCAAGGTAATTTCTTCAACTTTTCTCCACCAACTTTCAGACTCTTGTGTGATTTGGGTTGATGGAACTGAGTAATTTTCCATCCAATTTCTTTCTTCCCTAATTCTCTCGCATTGCTGGCCACACTGCTGAGGTTGTCCTAATGATGGATGATACTTTCCTAGAAAAAGTAGTTGTTAGACCTTGACTATCCTCAGTTTCTTCTGTTGCCTTTCATTTTCTTTTTGTTATTCTCTTAGGTTCACATTTATTGGTGCCATCAACACCTCTCAGCTTAATTTTGCAAGTTCAAAGCATTTCTTCTGCTGCTTTATTTTCTTTTCACAGCGTCTTTTGTTTTCCTTGTCACCTTCCCCTTGTTGGAAAGCCTTTCACATACCACGCACCACCATTCAGATATGTTTCACCTAATGCTGGGGCCAATTTTCAGTAGTATGTTCTTCCAATGGTCTGTCCCTCTCATTGGCTGGAAACCAGAGAAGCCATTGTTTGGACTGACGACCTCTTGCGAGCTAACCTGATCTGTGACCCTGAGCAAGTAGGGTAAGTCTCAGGAAGTTTAAGTGCCTATCCTTCCGTAGAGTTGTTTGTGACGGTACACGTTCACCTCATTCCCAAGCCACTGCACGACAACTCTTTTTACAAGAACTATTTACAGAGAAACAAATTACTATATGTTTAATTACTACAATCTATTTAATTTTGTCAAATTTATTATATAGGGTGATTTATAAAACTCTCTGTAATGAACCATTATAGAAAAGACAAACTCAGCTTAATCCTTCTTATGATTAAAACTGTTTCTCAAGGATCAGGCTGTGCCTCACCTGTAACCTTAACTACAAATTGTTCCATACTGCCTGTTCCAGGAAGTGACAATCAGGTATTTTTTTTTTTTTTTTGGTCTTTACGTGACAGGGTTTCTCTGTATTGTTTTGGAGGCTGTCGGTCCAGCCCGGCCTTGAACTCACAGAGATCCGCCTGCCTCTGCCTCCCGAGTGCTGGGATTTAAGGAGTGCACCACCACCGCCCTGCAAAAAGAAAGACAGAATGTTGTGTTTGTTTCTGCCCGGTTTCGAACCGGGGACCTCTCACGTGTTAGGTGAGCGTGATAACCACTACACTACAGAAACACAATCAGGTATTTTTTTTCAAAAAGTTGTAATAACCATTTTACATCCCTACCTTTGTTTCACAAGGTTGTTATGACTATCTGTCATTATGACTACCTTATTATGATACCTTGTTGTGACCACCTTGCAGTCATATTTTTCTTTCAAAGGTTGTTATGATCAACTTATTATATTTATCTTCTGTTTCTGTAACCCCACCTATTTCCCCCATTTGGAAGTACCCTACCCCTGAGCTATAAAAACCTCATCTTCATAATATTCAATTATGATCTCTTAAACCCTGCCTTAGGGTGAAGCAGCCTGTGTACATGAATAAAGAAGATTGGTTTAATTAATTGCCTGCTTTAATTAATTTGGCCATGATGATTTGGGTCTGTGGTTCTTTCTCTTCCCATCTTTGGGATTAACAATAGATCTCTTTAACAGTATCGGCTATTCATGATTGTTTATTCTTTCACTCATTGGCTTTGCTTTCATATGACTTCTTTGTATGTTTTTAAATGTTTTATATGAAATAGGTTTTAGCCAAGTAAGCAGAATTCTTGGGTATAGACTTTTCTTTTGAGGGCCTGATCTTGAGTTTTACTTAACTTCTCTTTTTGTAATTTAAAATTACTTATTTCATTTTTACATAGTGTACAGAATAGTAGGCTTCATTTTGGCATTTTTAAACACAATTTTTAAAAATAATTACTCATAAAATCATTTTTAATTCACCAAATATTATACTTAAACAATATATTATAAAGGAAAGCAACTTTTTATTGAGATATTTTATTCACATATACTAAAAAACATTTAAATAAAATACCTTCAGATGTCCCTTAATATATGTTGGATTCTGTACATAATGCTTTTGAGTACTGGGAATAAGATAGATACATTAGCCCAACAAAGAACTGGTTCAGTGATGGGTGATGTCCTTCTGTATATACGTTTCTATTATTGGTTAATGAATAAAGCACTGTTCAGACAATGAGGCAGGAAGATAGGCGGGGCTAGGAGACAAGGTGAATTCTGGAAAAGGCAGGCAGAGAGGGCCCACCAGAACAGTCGCCATGTGAGCCACCAAAGGAGTTAGAGGTCCGGACCCTTCTCCAGTAAGATAAGACCACGTGGAAATATTTAGTTTAATAGAAATCAGTTAATAATTAAGACAGAGCTAGTCAATAAAAAAAAACCCTAGACACAAGCCAACAGTTTAGTGACTTTAGCATCAGTGTGTTTATTTGGGGCTAGAATGGTGTCAGAACCAACCAGGATGAAAAACCTCTTATTACAGCCCTTAATTCAAATACTGGGGTTCAGCAGTGGTGAACAGTGGACTTTTTCTTCTTTCTTTAAGTTTAGAACCTTTGTACATACATACAGAAATACCTGGTGATATCTAGACTAAACAAACATTTTACTTATATTTCCTATACAACTTATGCCTATAACTTAAAGGAAATCTGTGATACTTTCGTGCATCTGTATCATGAGTCAGGTATATAATTTTCCTACTGTGGAGTATTGGTGTTAAGAAATTTCAGATTTTTGAGCATTTAGGTATTTTAGATTAGGGATGTTCAACTTGTTTACATATCCTATGTTTAGCTCATCTATTTTTCTTACGTTTCTTTATGACTAATACATTATTATGATTATTTGGATATTGTTGTAAAGCATCATTTTAGAATTTGCTGTGATAAATTTCTATTGACTCTGAAGGATTCTACTTGTTTAATGTAAGCCATTTGCCAGTTTCCTGTATGATAAATTTTCATTGGTAGAGGGCATTTTACTGATTTATGATGAGATTATAGGCATTTATTGCCTTTATGTCTTTGATTGAGAAATCAGTTGTCCATCTCGTTTTCGTTTACTAAAAGCTACCTTTCCGTGACCCTTTGCATACTTCTTAGTTGTTGTGGCATCTAATATAATGTGGTCAAATATTCTTTATGTCTTGGCTATATGACTCTACATTTTATGGATCTTTGAATACCTGGCTTGAGGCCATTCATAATTTTGGAAATCTGGGTTCTCAGTTTGTCTCGTCTTCTGGATCTCAGTCACATAGGTGCTGTGCTCCTCTCTGTGTGACATTTGCCCTTTACTCTGCATTCTGTATTTTCTCATCTTTGTGTTCTCAACAATGTCTTCTGCTGTATACTTTTATCAATATTTAATATCCCTTTTATTGATTTCTTAATTCCATTTCCCTTGCAAATTTGCCTTACACATTTTCCAGCTCTTTTACCGAATCTTTTGTTTTTGGGAATTGCTCAGCTACCCAATGCACACTAAAGAATTTAATGTTTATTTTATTTTCTGTTTTCCTGTGCTTGACTATTTTTATATTTGGCCTTTCTTTTTATTTTTCTTCTCTCATATATTAAATCCTGATGGCACCCCCCACACACATCCCCTCTCCCCCTTCTCTCTGTCTGCATTCAGAAAAGAACTGATCTCCAGGGACACTAAGAAAAAGTGGCATAATATGCTACTATAAGACTAGGCACACATCAAGGCTGGATGAAGCAATTCAGTAGGAGGAAAAGGTCCCATAAAACAGGCAAAAGTGTCAGTAACCACCCCTGCTCCCACTGTTAGGAATATCACAAGAACACCTACCTACTCAGCCATAACATATGCAGGGTATATAAGTCAGACCCCTACAGGCTCCCTGATCTCTGTGAGCTACCATGGTTTGTGATCAATTGATTCTATGGGCCAAGCTTTCTTGGTCTCCCTGACCCCTCTGGTTCCTCTGATCCTCCCTTGTCTCCTCTCAGGACTCCCTGAGCTCTGCCTATTGTTTGCTGTGGGACTCTGCATCTACTCCCATCAGTTGTTGGATGAAGTCTTTCTGATTTCTTTGATAATGATTCTGCTAGGCTCTCATCTCAAAACACTATGCAGGAGCATAAAATGTAGGTTGAAGATTTTGTGGTTGGGTTGGTGTCCCAAGCCCTGTACTTGAGACTTTGCCTGGTTACAGATGTTAGTCAGTTCAGGCTCCAGGTCCCCCATTATTAGAAGTCTTTGCTAGGGTTACTCTCATAGATTCCATGGAGTTTGCATTGTATTAGATTTCCACCTCACCTCTGAAATGCCCCGCCATTCCAGTTGTTTCTTCCAATATTTTCTCCCTCCCACTCCTGACTTGATCCCTACTGTTGCAAATACCACATACCCCCTGTCCATCATTGAAATGTATTCTATTTCTGCTTCTCATAAAGATTCTAGTCCCCTCTTAAGCCTTCCTTGTTACTTAGCTTCTGGGTCTGTGCATTGCAGCATGATTGTCTTTCACATTATAGCTAATATCTACTTTTAATTGAATACATACCATGTTTGTGTTTCTGGGTCTGGGTTAATTCACTCAGCATGATTTTTTTCAAGTTCTCTCCATTTGCCTAGAAATTTCATGATGTCATTGTTTTTAACAGCTGAGCAATACTCCATTATGTAAATGTATCATATTTTCTTTATCCATTCATTCTTCTATTGAGGGGCATGTAGGTTGTTTCCAGTTCCTATATATTATGAATAAAGCTTCTATAAACATAATTGACCAAGTGTCCTCGTGATAGGATGGGGTGTCTTTTAGGTGTATGCCCAAAAGTGGTATAGCTGATTATTGAGATAGGTTGAGTCCCAATTTTCTGAGAAACTGCCATATTGATTTTCAAAGTGGCAGTACAAGTTTGTATTCCCACAAGCAGTGGAGGAGTATTCCCCTTACTCCATATCCTCTCCAATATAAGCTAGTACTTGTGTTTTTGATATTAGATCTTCTTATAGATATAAGATGAGAAAATAGCCTTGAATGCATTGGCACAGGAGACAACTTCTCGAACAGAACACAAATAGTGCAGGCACTAATATCACCAATTAATAAATGGGACCTCATGAAACTGAAAAGCTTCTGTGAGGCAAACGACACTGCCAATATGACAAAAAGGCAGCCTACTGAATGGGAAAACATTTTAACCAACTCTACATTTGACAGAGGGATAATATCCAAAATATATAAGGAACTGAAGAAGATAGATATCAACAAACTTAATAATCCAATTAAAAAATACAGTGTAGATATAAACAGAATTCTCAGCAAAGGAAACTCAAAAGGCCGAGAAACAATTTAAGAAATGTTCAACATCCTCAGCCATCAGAGAAATGCAAATCAAAATTTAGCTTTCTTGTTTGAAAGGCAGTGATTTAATAAATAAGTAACACTGGCTTTCTACAAAGAGTGTTGTTTTATTTTTCCATTTGTTTTACATGCTGACCATATGGTCCTCCCCACCCCAGCTACCCTCCCATCTCCCATCTACTCCATGCCATCTACTTCTCCTTCCTCTCCATTCAGAAAGGGTCAGGCTGTCCATGGACTTGAACAAAGCATGGCACATCAAGTTGAGGCAGGGCAGAACTCCTCCCCCTGCATCAAGGCTAGGGGATGGTAATCCGATATGGAGAGCAGATTCCCAGAAGCCAGCTAAACACCAGGGATCAGCTAAGCATCAGGTCTCACTGCTAGGAGCCTTACAAATGGACCAAGCTACACAACTGTCACACACCTGCAGAAGGCCTAGGTTGGTCCCATGTAGGCTCCCTAACTGTTGGTCCAGAGTCCATGAGTTCAATTCAACTGTCTCTGTGAGTTCCCCTGTCATAACCTTGATCCCTTTTGCACATACAATCCCTCCTTCGTTTCTTCAGGAGATCTCCCCGAGCTAGGGACAGTGCTTGGTTGTGAATCTCTGCATCTGCTTCCATCTGTTACTGAATAAAGGCTCTCTGTTGACAATTAGGGTAGTCACTAATCTGATTACAGTTCAGGCTCCGTCTCCACTATGGCTATGAGTCTTATCTGGGGTCATCCTTGTGGATTCCTGGGAGTTTCCCTGGCACCAGTTTTCTCCCTAACCCCCAAAATGTGCCACCATCCATCAAGACTTCCCTTTTGTTACTTTCCCTCTCTGTCTGGCTCCCAACACCCCTCTGAGTGT